ATATATATATCAATTGCATGGTTCCTGAGTGTGAACTTTGTAGACGCTAACTTTGTTTCCCAGTGTCAAAAGGTTAGGCACACCTGATAGGTGATCAAAGTGTCAGGAATAAGAATGTGTCCTGAAGCCTCTGGTGACAAAACCTGAGGCCACCAAGAGAGCTCAGAGAGCTGGGAGAAGGCCTCCCTGTAGCCCCAGTTGGCCTGGAGCTCATTATGTAAATCAGGCTGGCCTTGATCTCACAGACATCTGCCTTCCTTTGCTTCCTGATTGCAGGGACTAAAGGCCGTGTGCCACCACTCCGCTGACATTAGGCATTCTAAATAAGGGAGTTGGCCCTCCAGAATACCACCGTCTATATCCATTCCTCTTTCCTGGCAATAGCAAGTCCTAGTGATGATTCATGCCCTCATCCCATTGGGTCAATGGAAATTTCAAAACTCTGGTGTTACTTTCCCAGCTCAGATCTAGAATAAATGAATCGCAGGGCAAAATGTTGATGGCGGCGCGTCGATGCCAGGCTGAACATCCACTGAGGCCTGAGAGCAGCTTATAAGTGTTAGGTGGGACGATTCTGACTTCGGCGTATGCACCAGCTGGTCTTCTACAGGGGTGGAAGACAAGGCTACCACTCACAAGCCCTGCCTTTCCCCGGGAGGCCTTCCTCTCGTTCTTTCCTGTTTTCTTCTGTGTGACTCTGGTGACTTCATTTCCTCCTCCTCTGCCTCCCTCTGGACTAGCATGCCCAACTAATTTCTGAAACAGGTAAATGGTATGATTCTTCTGGAATACTCCATAGTGAATGTGATTTTTGTTAATCCATCGTGGAATCAAAATGATACTGGGGCATTTTTGTTAGTACTTTTCTGGGGGAGCATCAAAGCTTAACTCATTTTGCATGTTCCCATAATGTTGACTGTTGAATTCTGTGGACAACAGTGGATCTGCCCAGGACTAACACTCTTTTAAGTTCTTTGAATCCTAAGTTGGGGAGGGTGAACTGATATTTAAGTTTTTATATTAATGACTTTTAATATGAATGTCAACACGTTGATGTTTTGATACTGTAAAGGGTAAAACGGATCCTTTCCCTCAGTAGTGCAAAGAGGAGATTATTTCAAAAGGCATTCAGATCATGACAGTGGCAAGCCTTCCAGTAGAGGGAAAAGATCTTCAAAACTTCACTCCACCATTGCGGAAGAGGAAGTGGATGCACCCGAGTACAGGATGTCACAGCCAACGAATGGTTAGAGCCTTCGGTTTTCAACCCTCTCTGACCTGAAGCTGATGGACTGGCACTAACAAACAAGCTTTAATTGAGTAACTGCTAGTGGGGGCCCGGGTCAGAGATACATCATAGGGTTGAATTCTTACTCTGCATGGTAACAGGATGGTCCCTCCATGGGTGGCAAAAATACGAACTCAGTAATCTAAAATTAGATATGGAGTGCATCAAATTACTTTGGTGACCTGTCAACTCAAGAAGGTTAATTTTTATATTTGGGGCCTATCTCCTATTTACGTTGTGTTTTTCCATCAACTTTCCATTAGGTTAGTCTAGAAACGAACAATATGGTGAATTCCCTTGGAGAGCGGAGGTCTAAGGTGTTACCCACACACTCAGGAAAAGATCATAAACAGCCAGCCACCAGCTCAGTGCAGACCTTAGATCACATACCATATCTTTCAGGGCACATTTCCTGCCCCGTTAACTTTTCCACGCCAGAAGCAATTTATTCTGTTTTCTGGCATTCTTACTGCTTCTGTGGCCCTGTGGGAAATTCTGTAGTGTTTGCTTCAGGTGAGAACTGTCCCAGGAGACAGGAAGGGGATAGATTTGAATCAGCTTTCACCTCCAGCGCTGCTGACTCAGGGAGCAAATGCCTCTCCATGACTTAAAGTGTGAACTCACTGAAAGGAGATCTTACTGTAATAGGACAAGATATAAGATATCTGTGAGGTTTCCTTAAGGGACTTCTGCCCCTGCACTGAATGTTTTTTCTATCAAGATTAACGTGTGAGGGTGTTTTGATCACTGAGGTCAGGTCCGAGGCTGAGTATTCTGTAACCCCATGCCCTTCCTTTTCTCCAAGTGTTCCAGAATACAAACTAACAGGAGTGACCTTATGATAGGGAGAATATTCTTATTACAGAAAGATAAACTGTGCTTAAGCTCGAGCACTTTATTACGCACAGTAAATTTCTTGTGATCCACCTCCCAGTCCGACAGCCCAGTAAGTTCTCTGACATGGTGGCAACCTTCGCATGGTACCAACTTAGAAATCACAAAACGTGAGCTGGGTGTGGTGGCACATACCGCCTTTAACCCCAGCATTCAGGAAGCAAAGGCAGGCGGTTCTTTGTTAAGATCAAGCCAGCCTGGTCTACATAGTGAGTTCCAGGTCAGCTGGGGCTGTGGGGTGACCCAAATTGTGAAGTACCTACTAACTGACCAGCAGCAGAAGCACTTGGAGCCTGGCTTACAAGCTTTTACCTCTCTGTTGCTCTAACATTAATTAGCTAGACGACAGGGTAGAGCTAAGGTCACCCACAGCATAAAGCAAGCATAAGTTACATAAGGATAGACCGTTGGCTCAGGTCCAAATAGCATCTGCCCTGGGGAAACTCAATGAAATCTGTCCTTTGCATTTTGTGGGGTATGGGTGGGTGTGCGCCATGTTAGGGATGGAACCCAGGGCTTTGCGGGTACTGCTGAGATACGTTACGTTCCAGTTTGCTTTCAGTTGGTTGTCTGTGTAGTCAACATTTATTATCACAGTTACAATAACCCATCTCCAGAAGAAATATGCCTGACGTTACCAAGAAAACCTCTGCTAATTTCAGTCATAGGAAGGTTGCAAGCAGGAACGGCCATGGTGTTTATGAAGAACAGTAGTTATTTTTGAGAATATATTAGGGAAAAGTCTCTGTCTTGCCTCCTTCATTAAGGACACTTGAAGTGAAATGGGTGTTTTAGAACTTAGAAATATACACTTTGAACTATTACATCCGCTGACTTTCATCTCTCATTAACAAGGCACCCTTGATATAATAATGTTCCTTCTTTAAGAGTTACTGAAAGCACTCACACAGCATACAGAGCCCCCCGTTAATCATCCACTAAGAGTACAAGGGCGGGCCAGGCCAGCTCATAGGAGGCAGAGGGAAGAAGCCCGGGGTCTATCTCTGACTAACCCGTGACCTCATTAGCTTACACTTCTCAATGTGATGGGTTGGCTCAAATGTTGGTAGCATTAAATGAGACCATTAGTTTTTTTACCTTGATTTCTTAAAATAGGCAACTCGGAAGGTGATTTTTAAAGTAATTTTATGTCTAATATCTTCATTTTGCTTTGTTAGTGCCGATTCCTAGCACCTGTCTTCACCTTTGAGAACTGCATACCCGGCAGTGCTGTTTGTTTGTTTTGTTTTTTAATGCATTTAGTAGAGCAGTTCATATAAGCTTGGTGTGTATCCCCCTTAAGTATTAAGAGCAGCCTGTTGACAGTAAACAGCTTTCTTTTCTTTTTTAAAAATTACTTTATTTATTATTTTTATTATTTTATGTATATGAGAGTATTGCCTGCGTGTGTGTAAGTACACCCATGCCGTGTAAAGCCTGCGGAGGTTAGAAGAGTGTTGGATCCCCTGGAACTGGAGTTACAGATGGTTGTTAGCCGCCTTGTGGGTGCTGGGAATGGAACCCAGGTCCTCTGTGAGAGCAGGCACTGCTCTTAACCGCTGAACATCTCTCCAGCCCTAAACAGGCTTTCTTCATTTCCTGAAACCCTGTGCCATGAACAAACAGAAGCTATTGTTCTCAAAGCATGCTGCATATTTTTATCATGATTGTTATGATTTAATTGTGTAGCTATTTTGATGCTGATTTCACAGCCTTTCCTCCCTGTTTGATTATAATCATACTTTTGTAAGCACATATCCTGTTTTCTAGAAGAAAATAGCTACATTGTTTGGCCCTGTCTGTGTCGCTTCCTCTTCCGCGCTTCCCCAAGACCCTTTCTGTGTCGCTTACTTCCTCCATCATCAGCCTGCAATCAGGGATACGTGCTGGGTCCTCACAGTCCGGGAGCTCTACTTCCTTCCCCCACATCCAAAGCCAGGTTCAAGTTTCCCTGTAAGAATTCCTCAAGAGGAGGCAGGTTGGTCTGGAGTTCAAAGTCATCCTCAGCTACATAAGGATTTGAAGACAACTTGGGACTCAAAACAATAATAAGCAAACAAAAAGGAATTTTGGGGGAGAAGTTTGGTTTGTTGCTAGAAAGAATTTTTAAAAATCAGGGTCCGTGACTGAATATTATTTTAAGGGAACATCATGCTTTCTTCCTGGAAGATGTAGATTTCTGTGGAGATGGAGAAATCTCAAGTTTTCATCTGAATCTCTTAATTCCAAGTCTATGCATATTTCAGAAGGTTTTAAATTTGAATATATACATATGCAAAGTTGAATCATCTTCAAGAACATGAGACCCAGGTTGAGGGTCTCTCTCTGCAATACTTGTTTCCACTTTAAACAAGATGTGACTATGCAAACCAGTTTTTCTGCTGAATAAATTACTGTTAATTTCCTTGAGTATCTTTTACCAATCAATAGTACATGGAATGGTAATAAATACATGCATTAACCCATGTACAGAGACACCCTATGTTCTTACCTGTATTGCACTGGAGAAATTTAATAAAACAGTGCAGTGGGGGAAGGGGGCTGTAGAAATTGAGCATTAAATCAAAATGTAGGAAGAAGTCTGTCTGAATTAGTAAAAGTCTGAATTTTATAATTAAAAAAAAAATAAATTCTGGAGTTTTAAGTTTCAAGCAGACTTAATTCTATTTAGACCATCCTTTAGTGGAAGCCTGACCCAACCTAGCTCTGCATAATTGTAATTAGCATCTTAATTATATGCAATCAAATAGATGCTCCCTAAGGGCTGGGAACAAAGAGCATTCCTCCTACAAAGTTGTTTGTGTCAGAGATCCGGACTAATCCGGCTAGAGGCCTGGTGGAGTGCAAAGCTCTGTTTTTCCTAATTGAATGGCATCAGCCTCTAAGACTGAGGGCCTGTAGGCCAGCCCTGCTGTTATTATCACATGCATCCAGAGTTGAAAGGTGAATGGACTTAATAGTGTTGAGGATCAGTAGTGTAGATCCCAGTAGTATTGAGGATCAAACCCAGGGCCTCACACAAGCTCCACCATTGCGCTCCTCAGTCCTAGAGGGCATCTGTCGATATTCTCACCACAGTGAAATGAATTTTTAATGTTCTCACCACAGTGAAATGAATTTGCAACCTCTTTGAAACCGGGTATTGGATAAATGGAAGTTTTTATTTTCATGATTGACACTGGCTTTTTGCCACCAACCCAGAAACTAGTGGGTTAACTTAATGATGTTTGCTCTTCTCCCAACTCCTACATTCCGTCCCAGACAGTTCCCCATCAAAAGCCCAGCTTGAGGAGGGTCAGTGCTTGGCTGGAGATGGAGGAACAGCTGCTTTTTAACCAGGAGGATTCCCATGTTGTAGTCCTGAATTTCACTCATGCTGTGGTGGTCCTGGCCACAGGGATGTTCCCATTTCTATCCATAAACATTTTTAGATACCTGAACTTCCACAGTTTTAGAAAGTACTTTTACACATTTCATAGAAGATGAATTCAACCCGAGTTTCCATAAAGCTAAAATATTGGAACAAAGGAAAAGCTGGACTATTATTTTAATCTAGGGAGTCAAGCAAGTCTATTCTTTTCCAATGGCAAACAAGCATCAGAGTCCTTTAACTCCGCAGTGTTGGAAGTCATTCCTGAGTCTTCTGTTTTGGAGGAGCAACTGATTCTGATTTACAGTAGAATGCAAAAAGAATTCTAGGCGCTAGCACAAGTGATGCTGTGTTTCTGAACTGGGTTTCCTGCCAAGGATCTTCTCAGTGATTCTCTAACCCTGCTCTGCCTACCTCCCCCAACCCCCCAACACACTGCAAGCTTAAAGGACTCTGGGTATGAGCATCAAATTGGTTTTGTGATGTCAGCCAAAATATTTACAGACATTTATTAATATTCTTTCTCCAAACCTGGCTTAGCAGCAGCTTCTAAAAATCAAATCACACCAGTACCTTTAATTCTTCTCCTCCCAATAAAAGCTTTAAAACCAGCATTTACTGTATTTGCTACCTGTTCCCCAACCTCGCCTGGGAACGTACCTGATGTTATGACAAAAAAAAGTCACTTTTTTTTTAAGGGACTGGACAGGTCGTTCAGTGGTTAAGAACTCCACTGCTCTTGTAGAGGGCCAGAGTTCAGTTCCCAGCGCCCATGTCTGGTGGCTCACAACTGCCTGTAAATCCAACTTCAGGGGGTCCAAGGCCCCTGCCCTCTGAGGGCACCCAAATACACATGGCACACACACACAGACACACACACATACATAATTTAAACATGATAAAATTCTTTAAATGATTTGCTTTTATAGTGAAATTGGAAAAGTTATTTCAGAATTTGGGGCGATTTTAATTAAATGTCACTAACTGCAAATTAAAATGATTGTTGTTAAAAACTAGAATCTGACCCTGGCTACAAAATTGGCAAGAAAACATTGCTGTTTTTATTTTGACTGGGGCTTAATAGGCTTTCTCCTGTAATGTTTCCTCAAAGGCAAGATTTAAACAGCTGGCTCCTGGCAAGCTGAATTTCTTTTTAACAAAGTGTAAACATCAAAGCGATTTGAAGCATCTAGCGAATCCTGTGGCTTCAGCAGGACATAATACTGCCTTCCTGGTTGGAGTGTTGCAATTCTGAGTGACAACGCACCTGTGCTTCTCCTTTAAGCTGCTTTCCAAATGGTGTGGGTTTGGTGTTTTCAGGTCAAGTGACAGCTCAGCAGTAGACATGTAATATATAATAACTCCTAATGATTGTATTGGAATTTGACCTCTGAACCTTTCGTAGGCATAGTAGTGGAGAAACCAGAATCTAGGAACGAATGTGGGCTTTCCAGGGAAAAAGCCCACAGACCCTACCTAAGCTACATAATTGAGAGAACAGGCAAGATGCCCAGAGAGTGCCCAATGCATAACCAAAGCCCAGTGCCCGCATTGCTCTGTCCTAACAGCCTTTTGATCCCAGTGGACCCTTCCCATTTAACAGCAGTCAGAACAGGCAGTGGGAATGGGAATTGCTTTCCCTGCATGGTTCAATCTATTACAGACAGTATTTGATACATTTCTGCAGAATTATGTTCTAAGGAGTGAGACGGGGGTTGTCAGCCTGATACCCTGCCCCATCGCGGGGGTTAGCAGCCCTCTGTCGTCTGCAGAAGATGTGTGGTGCCCCATCTGTCCAGCACCTCCGAGAGGCTCTGTGTGCCCTGTCCCCTGTGCTGCTTGAAGGGACTTCCTGGGCTGCAGAGGTTGCCTGGCTTTCAAGCAGCCTTGGGGACGCCTGCTGGCTTCTCTCCCTCTGCTTGCCCACCATCTCCACCTGGAGTTCTCCGCTACATCTATGATGGGTTCGCTCCACCATAGACTGGCTTTCTGTGTATGTGTGCTCACTTGCTTGTGGTTCCATTGGTCTGTTCTTGACCTCTATCTGGAGTCTCAAAATGCAATAGCTAGTTTGTTCCTGAGAAAGTCCATCGTGACCCCTCCTCACCCCCACTTCTCAGGACCCCTCACCCCACTGTTGGCTAGGCCACCCTCACTGCTTCATCAGTAAACTATCCTCCTTTCTTGCCTTCTAATCGCAGTCTCGAGGAGGAGCTGGGGCCAGTCGGCCCAGGAGCATCAAGAACAAAAGCCGCGGTCCTCCAGTAAAGACAGTCGCCAGGGAAGCAAGTCCAGCGACTCCGGGGAAGAGGCAGAAAAAGACTTCATTTTCGTGTGACAGCGCCCACCCCAAGCCTTCCCGTGCAGGGTGCCCTCCACCCGCGGAGGGGCCGGCGCTGTCTTCCCTTCCCTTTCCTTGGTGCCCGCTCCCTTCTGCTCTCTTTTCCTCTTTAGAAAAATCTATGAAATTCCACTCCTTGGTTATCAAAGCACATTTCTAGTCTTCCTGGATCCTCAGCATTTTATTTTTAAACATTGTTTCTTACGCCTTTAAAGAAAAGCCAGCAGATACTCCGTGGGTCCTACTTGAATTTCTCTGAGGCAGCTACATATTGCCCTGCATGGTGAGTTTTTGGAAATTAATGAAGTAACTGGACCCATGCCCAAGTCACTCTGTCCAGGAGACCCTGGTACTGCAGGGCATGTCTGTGTCAGACCCGGACATGACTCGATAGAGCAATTTATTCCTGATATACACAATTGCACATTGTAATTATATTAACAGAGCACACTAATAAATTTGTATAAATTATATATTATTAGATCTTGGGTATTGTTCTTACATTCTCCCATGGGGGACTTGCTGATGTAGAGTTGTACATTTAAAACTCGGTTGGTGACCTTCCATCAGTAAGCTCAACCGAAAACCAAGAGATGCCCAGATTCGTGTATATAGTGGAGGAGAATAAGGTTTTATGAATATTCATGTTCTCAAAGGCTTTTAATTTCTGTCTGCATATTAGCTTTTAATGTGTGGTTTTAAGAGAGAATACTTTGACACCTGTAAAAATCTAAATACTACTCTTTATAAGATATCACACAAATATTCACCTACATTGCAGGCTAAAAGTATTTTATTCCTGTGTATATTTATACCAATAAAATGATTTTACAAGTGGCATTTTGACCTCCAGTTATTTTAGTTAGGGTCTGAAAAGGAAAAGGGAAGTCACTCCTTTCTGAGTCGGGACTTGGAGAGGCAGAGGCAGAGCTAACGGCCTCGGGCGGCTCCTTAGTGACTCTGTGTCCCCTTTAAATGTGTGTTGCCTTGGACTGAGTCCTGGAGAGCCATGGTGAGATGCACACAGCGCTCAGTGTCAACAGTGATCTAATTCACATTCGATTCAAATCCTCTGTGGCATAGGGCTGCCAGTTAGACCCTCAGGGTTTCAGCACAGGCAGAAGGCCAGACTCTGAATAGCCTGGCTGCATTGTTAAGCAGTTGGAACTTGGCCTGTGCAGAAGGAGCCACTGCCCACAGGTGCCCAGAGATGTGGATGATCAAGAATCCATCATCTCCCTCTCTGGGTTAGAAGGTGCCTGCTTCTAGTTACCTCTAAGAGAACACCCGGGGGGTGCAGAGCTGTTGGCGTGCATCCTGATGGAGGTAGCTGTGCAAAGGCCACGTCGCCCCCTGCCCAGCACAGAGCGTCTCTACTGGGCAGCCTTTGCTTGTGGGTCCCTTGCTGCCCTGGCCAGGACTCTCAGATTTCCCCTGAAGGCCTTCCTGACTCCGTTGCTCCTTCCCAGACTCTTCATGGTGGTCAGCCTGGCTTTGGAAGGATTTTCATTCAACCCTTTTCCACCTGCCGGATTGAAGATACTGCAGGACACATATCACGAACATATACATGAAAAAGAGCAACTTAGAAATGACTATATCATATATGTGATATATATCATACATAGATATTAATGCTGAGTCTTACACATGCTAGGTGCTCTACCAATGAGCTGCACTCCCAGCCCCTGCTTTTAAAGCATTTGTAACTGCATTGTAATATAACTGACTAACTGACTGTAACACTCCACCCTATTTAGTTCATGTTAAATCTTGATTCTGAGAAATCCCTAAGCATCACCTGACAGCTGGAAATGTAATGTAAAAACGGGCGAGAACCAGCTCAAAGGGCCAGGACAGGTGGGCTCACTCAGAAGTTTCTGGGAATGAACAGGAAAAGGCTCTTCTTGTGGGATACGTGGGATACGCATTCTTTTGCTGCCTCCTGAGCCGTCTCTGTCCCGGTTGTCCTCCCACAGGCTGTGAAAATGTGTTCATTTATGTCTATAGCTACTTAGGGGGAGAAAATGACTTCAACTCCGAAAGGAGTGTACACTTCAGTCTGGCAACGTCTCAGAGGGGACTCAGGAAGGGGTGGGTGAGTCGGCCCTGTACGGCTACTGCCTCTGGCCAGACATGGAGAGAGGTGGCCTTCCCAAAGGAAAAGAAAGTCATCTGTCTTACTAAGGAGGGCAGAGGAGGCTGATGTGATGTAGTTTCTGTTACTGTAGGCTGTGGTGAGGTACCAGGTCAGGAGCCGAGTCATAGCTGGTGGTATGCAGTGTAACTTAAAGATGTTGCAGGTTCTTAGAAAGGAAGTTGACATGATATTGCCCTTCAGAGGAACTTTGTTAAGAGAGTTTATCAAGGCCACAAGCAGCCACTGTGGGCTGAGGGGAGACACCGCGAGCCCTTAAGTCCAAAGAGCAGCTTCATTAGGAGCTGTTACGGATAGCTTGACGGGGGTCCCGAGGGGACATAGACCCTTCAGTTCTGGGAACAAAGGGAGGTTTCCTGTTCTATAGGATTGGGGGGATACATACCATGTGATCTAGCATCTGTGCTGGACGTCACAAGGCACTGATGAAAGTAAGTTATAATTTAAGGCAGGCCATCCTAGGTCTGGGAATCCAGAGCTCCTGAGAGTCACAGTCATGCTTGTCAAAACTGTCCTGAGAGACTGCAGGGGCTGTGGCCTGGTTTCTGGAAGATCTACGATCTAAAAGTCATTTCAAGATTCAGGAGGGCTGAAGCAAAGGTTTGCCACTAGCTTGAGGCCAGTTTGAGATGCATAGCAAATGCCAGGCTAGAAATTCTGGGGCGGAGACTGAGAGGCAGCGGGCAGGAGGGAGGGAGGGAGAGAGAGACTCAAGGTTAAGTGAGCACCTGTGGCTGCAGGGTCGTGTGGGAACAGCAGGTTTGGTCAGGCAGCAGAGGGAACCAAGGCAAAACACAGACAAAAGGCACGGTGAAGCAAAGTGTTACAGGTTGAGGGTGAAATGTCCCCGCAGGCTCACGTGTTTGAACACTTGGTCCCCAGGTAGTGGCACTGTTTTGGGAGTCTGTGAGACCCGACTGGTGAAGTGGTCACGGGGTCACTGTGGATGGTCATTTGGGAGTCATAGCCCAGCCCTGCTTCCAGTCTTACTACCTGCCTTCTGCCGGCCAGGGGCGTGCCATTAGCACGCAGACCAAACTGTTCTGCCTGCCTACCCTCCGTGAGTGCCATCAGCAGGCAGACCAAGCTGTTCTGCCGGCCAGGGGCGTGTCATTAGCACCGCACCGCGACCAAGCTGTTCTGCCTGCCTTCCCTCCGTGAAGGGTCAAAATCCCTCTGAAATCCCTCTGAAACCGTGAGTCCCCAAACAAGCCTTCCTCCTTTGAATTGTTTCTGTCAGTTACTTTGTCAGGACCATGAGAACAGTAGAGCCCAGGGCATCTGAGGTTGGGATGGGCTCGTTTGAATAATTTCAGTGGACTCTAGGATGGAGGGGATGTCCTGAGTTCTAATGTAGAAGTGAGTTTATCTTTTATTTTACTTTTTAATTCACTAAATAACACAGTGTCTGATAACCACACCACCATGACTGGAACAGATGAGTGTGAGGATGCTATATAAGCATCAGAGGTGGTCTGGTGCTCTAGTACTTGGTCCTGAAGCTGGACAGAGCAGGGGACGTGTGCCGCCACAGTACCAGGGCCACCCAGACGCACACAGGAGGAGAGTCCCCTCCACTCTCAGAAAAGCATCAGAATTACAGAAAATAAAAGTCATGGTGAACACAGAAGCCACCCAGATGCCTGGTTGGGGCGTGGCTGCTCGGTGAGCGTGTCTGTCCCCGCAGCAGAGGTGCCAGCTTGTCATTAGAACTGACCTGAGCCCTGATACACAACCTGCTGCTCAAACCCAACGGGTCTGCTGGGTGCCTTCCCAGCATCCTGGTTTCTTCTGTCCCCACCACACTCCCCTTGATCTCCTGCCAGACCAGTGGGTGGTAGAGGAGCTCAGCACCTTAATGGTCTGAACTGAAGAGTGAAGGGCTAGAGCCCACCCCCTACCCTTCTATACCCCCCCCTCCGCCACACACACACCCAGCAATCAGAAGTGGCTGGTGGACCAGACCTGACCAAGCAGGAGAAGCAGTCTTTGCTGCTGAAGGCCTACCCACTCCGCCTGAGCAGGGCTTACCTACCACTGCAGCCTTCCACCAATGTAGAAAGAGGAAAAAAAAAAACTGTAATGAGTTCAGTAGAAACAAGGAGAGGAGTGGGTGGGGGCTGAGGGGAGCAGGAGCTCAGGCTCGCTAATTAGATTGATTCTTCCGGAAAAGGCAGGAGGAAGGGACCATCTCTTTAAATCTGATTTCATTTAATCCAGTACTGGTCTGAAGTTCACTGTCCAGTCACTCAGGAAAGGTAAACCACAGAAGGCCCTGAGTGTCACCCTGCCTGGATGCCTGGCTCCCCTGTGACATTAATATCAGTGCCAGAGGACCCCCTGGAAACCCCACTCTGCACATGCAGTTCTAACAACTTCGCCCCAGCATACTGCTTTTGGAGTGTGCGGGAATTAAGGAGCAAAGACTGGGTGATCGCTGGCACCTCCATTTCCTCTTTGACAATACTAAAGGCTGGAACTGTGTCAAGATTAACATCTGAAAGATGCCAGTGCGCAGAGGCCCTTCCCCACCTGAGCTACACACAACCGAGCACGCACCAGAAAAGCCCTGTGGGTCCGAATGTGGGAGAGGCGATGCTGAGGGAGTGGTTAAGGAGGGTCCGGAGCCTCGGGACCCGGAGTCTTTGAGTGTCTGCTTTCACTTAGCTCACTAGCCCACCCCTCACTGCTGGAGTATCCTCCTTTTTCTTAATAAACTCTCAGTTCTAACTGTTCCTGGTCCCGTTCTTCGTCCTAGTAAATTTACTCACATGCTCACCTATAGCAGTACCATCATTACCATGACCAGATGTATTTGGGGTCATGGGGAGGGATGAAATGTGTTTTACTATCTCATTCCCTGTTCCAGTGAGATTCAGCTTGGATAACGAGCCAAGTCATGTGGCCAGGAACTGAAGCAACTGCCATTCTCCAAACAGTGTTAAACACCGCATTTCTACACCCTTTCTGTTCCAGGGACTTGTGCAGGAATCTGCGATTCAAACCAGGCCTCAGCTGGCTTGTTCAGTGGTCGCTGAGGGCTGCTATCGTTTAGACTGGAGCGGCCACAGAGTTAAAGGCCTCTCCTCTGGCTAGCCTGTCCAGTGTTTGTTGGTACCGCTATGGTTTGCACCAAAGTGGTCCCAGTGCTGGGTGTTAAAGGCTCCTCACCCTGCTGGCTGGTTCAGTGGTTGTTGACACTGCAGCTTGGAGCAGAGAGGCCCAATGTCTGTATGCTAAAGCCTTGGTCTCTGGAGTGATGCTATTGGAAATACCTTAAGAGATGGAGCCTTGTAGAAGGCTTTAGGTGTGTGGGGGTTTGTCCACAAAGATACTGGAGGACCCTGGTGTGCTGGATAGCTTTAGTTGTCCACTTAACACACATGGGTTGAGGGAGCCTCAATTGGGCAACTGCCTCCACTGAACTGCCTTGTGGCCATGTCTGTGGGGCATTTTCTTGATTGTTGAGTGATATGGGAGGGGTGGGAGGGCTCAGTCCACTATGGGCAATGCCACCACTGGGCAGGTGGTATTGCATAACAAAGCGTGCTGAGCAGGGGCTGGGGGAGCAAAGTCAGTGAGCAGTATTCCTCCATGGCCTGTGCTGCAGCTCCTGCCTCCAGGTTTCTGCCCTGCGTTCCTACCTTGGGCTCCCTGATGAACTGTGACCTGGGAGATG